TTTTTTTTGATGTGGTCTCACCCACAGCCTCATACAATGTTGGGTCTTCAGCACATCTGTGATGGCCAGTTGTCCACAGGCATGGGTTGCAGTGGCAGTGGGACTATCTCAAGGCTTCATAGAGCTCCTATATGTAAAGGCAGTGGACTGTAGGCCATAGCTTCTGCCTTCAAGGAATTTAACCATTTTTGGAGCAGATGGATGTATATATAGTTCTGATACTTTGGAAACACACACAAAATGTAGTGGGAGCATTAAAAGCAGAGTTCTTATTGGTTTGGGAAAGATGGCATTTGAGCTGAAACTTGGAAGTAGGTTAGGATTTTGCCAGACACAGTGGGGGAAGGATATTCTGTGTGGAGGGCATGGGGAGATCAAAGGCTTGGAGGAGGGGAAATGATCCAGTCTAGAGCTGCAGTTTTAGCTACACTGAAGGGAGGGACTAGAGCTGGATCACAGAGCCTTGAATGCTAGGCAGAGGAGTTTGCCTTCTGTCCTTAGGTTTGAGGAGCTCTAGAAAACTTTCTTCAGGGTAGCTTTGTAGCCAGAGTTGAACTTGGGGCAGGTACTTGGGAGGACCATGGATGGCATGCACAGGGAGGGAGCTGGGCAAGGTCTCACATCTGTCCACCTCTTGTTGTGCAGGGCAAGGTCTCTGCCTTCTTCGTGGCTGACCTGGGTGCAGTAGCGAGAAAGCACTTCTGCTTTCTGAAGTGCCTGCCGCGAGTCCAGCCTTTTTATGCTGTCAAGTGCAACAGCAGCCCGGGCGTGCTGAAGGTTCTGGCCGAGCTGGGGGTGGGATTCAGCTGTGCCAACAAGGTGAGCTCCTGTCCCCACCAGTGCACTGACCCTCAATGCCTACTGAACACACACGTGGCTGGGCTGGTGCAGGTGGGCCTTGGGGAGTAGGAGTGACCTGCAGTTAGCCCCTGCCCTCTGAAGGGCCACCCACTCAGGAGGGGCTTGTGGGATGAGGGAGGGAGAAAAGAGCATGGAATTTTAGCCTAGAAGTTCCCGATTGGAACCTCGCATGTCCCTGGGTAGATGCATCACATTTTTAATGGAGACTTTAAAATTTCTTGGCATAGAACTATATATGGCATTCTTCTAATTAAAACAAAACAAAAACACCATGATATTGTTGGTTTTATTTTATTTTTTCTTTTATAATCTTAATAATATGTGACTGTGCATTTTCTTTAGAGTTTTGTTGTTGCTGTCAGTGCTGTCTTTCTAATTTGATTTCTGCTGTTGTCTTAATTCCCTCCTGCTCTCTTTAGACTTACTTTGCTTATATACTGTCATTCAGTATTCACTGAACTCCTACCATATGATAGTCACTGTGGTAGGGAGGGCTGGTGATACAGTGTTGAGCTAGACAGACGGTGTTGTCCTTGAGTTGAGTGCTTAGTTTATCTGTTTTCATTCTGTTTTTACTAGATAAAAGCCTTTAAGCTATAAATTTTCCTCAGAGTACAGCTTTGAATATATCTCACTTATTCATTTAGCAAATATTTATGGAGTACTTACTATGAGGCCAAGTATTCTAGATGGGGATTTAGCAGTGAACAAAATAAAACAAAAAAAAGCCCTTCCTTTATGGTGTTTGCTTTAAAAAAAATAAACAAATTAGAAACAAAAATATATAGTCTTTTAGAAGGTAAGTGCTGTGGAAAAGAATCAGGAAAGGGAAGTGGAGAATACTGGGAGAGACAGTTACACCTTTAAGGGGAGCAAGCCTGGTGGGTGTTGGTGTGTGATATCTTGGTCAGCAATATGGCTAGATGTTGTGAGGAGAGTTCTAGAAAGGATTCCTGGAGGAGAAGGAAGGAGAGCTAGACTGAGTAGGATGACAGGGCTGCAGTGACTCCAAGTGGGGGAGAAGTATGTGCCAGGGGTGGGGTGGTCAGAAGGAGGAGGTTAGCCATTACTGGGGATCAAATGTTAGTGCTCTTGGCTGTAGATGAGTCTTTCCCTCTGGTCTTTGCATTAGCTTTTGCTTTGCACACCTCGTTTTGTGTGTGTCTTACGTAAAGTCCTGAGAGGTGCACAGAGGGAGATATTGTGTTGAGGATGCTTGAGGGCCAGCTGCATGCAGCTTGCTGGTAGCAGAGCCAGGATGTCTGCTTTCCCTGCTGCCTTCTGCAGTGCACTGGGCCTCCACGGGGATAAGAAGGAACAGGATCCTTTTCAGTCCCCCCTGGTCTAAGGGTGATGGATGGGACCAAACCCCACTGACTAAAGTCGTCTGCATCTGGAAACCCAGGGGTGAGGCACTTGGCCCTCCAGCCTCTGGGGCTGGCCTCCAAAGGACAGTCTTGTGGGGTGTTGGGCTTAGAAAGACCTCGAAGACAGTAGAGACATTAGAAGCATCTACCGTTTGCTAAGTGCGTCTGTTGTGCCAGGCACTTTGCCAAATGTTTTATGTACATGATCTCATTTTGTTCTCATAGCAACCCTGTGAGGTAATTATTTATACCGGGATTCTGACAACAGCCCTGTGTGCATTTAACATCTAAGGAAATGAGGCACCCTAGGGTCATGCACTGGGAGGTGGCAGCTTGAGTCTAACAGTGTAGTCTCAAACTCCATTGCTGCTGTCTTTCCCAAGGTCTTTGGGGAGGGGATGGCTGAGCTGGGACTTGCCTAGTGATGGATGCCCCCAGCCAACTGCAAGGGTGAGGGGAAGCCTGAGCCCCCTCCCTGCAGTGGGATCATACAGACCTTTAGGTGCATTTACTGTGAGGTGGCTCCTGGGACTTACAGCTTTTCTTAGAAGGCTGAGGCTGCCCTCTTCTGGTTGGCCATAGTGGGTGGCCATGTTTAACAGCACCATGCCTTAGCAGACGTTGATTGAGTGGCATGAGGTAGGGCTGGATGTACAGATGGACATGCACTGGACAGGCTGCCGAGCCAAGGCACGGGCCACACCTTGCACAGGGGCTCTGGTCGACCCAGAGGACCTTGTGTCATCTCTCCTGCCTCATTCCTTGCCCTCTCTTGCTGTCTTCCTCAGCATCCTACTATCTTAAAAGCATATCCCTGGATACCACATTCTCCTCCAGCCCAATCCCTTGCTCCCCCTTTGTGTCTAAACTCAACTGAGTTGTCTACACTCGTCTCTCTGCACTCGCTGTTTCTTTTCCTCAGCACTCACTCCTTAAACCATTGCTTCCCGGCCTCCATTCTCACCACTCCAAAGGATTTCCTCTTACCAAAGTCCCCACTGATCTCCAGGATCCAATGAGCACTTTATTTTAAACATTAATTGTGAATTATTCACATACGTTGATTCATTCACCCAAAAAGAAAGTAGGACATCAGCTTTCTGTCTCCATAGATAATTACCATTATGGGTTTATTGGATATATACTATTTAAAAAATACTGTACTTACATAAATGATCCACAGAAAACATATAATGTTTTGTGATTTTGTAACAAAATATGAAAGGTATTCATGGGGTATGTGCTGTTCACAGTAGCTTTAAACTCAACAGGTTCTGTCCATGTTGATGACTTTAGACTCAGTCTGAGGACACTCCTTGGTCCTCTTATCATCTGGCCTCTCAACAACATTCAGCACAGCAATCTGTCTTTTTTTTTTTTCTTTTTGTCTTTTTTCATGTCCGGCAATGGATCGCAACCCTCAGTGTCGCGCCCGCACCAGACCAGGGCCGGCAATGGGATCGCAACCCTCGGCGCTGCGCCCGCCCCTCGCTCAGCCAGTGAGCGGGGACCGGTCTGTATGTGGGATCCGAACCCTCGGCGGGAGCACCGCCACGCTCCCAAGCGGCGCACTGTAGCAGTGCGCCACCGGGCCGGCCCACAATCTGTCTTTTTAAAAAACATCCAACAATGGGCGGGAGGTGTCGGTGAAGGGCCATAATAATCATATACATTGTATATTGACAAAATAAAAATTAAGAAAAAAAAATAAATAAAAAATAAAAATAAAAAACATCCAACAACAACATACACTCCTCGTTTTAAAGACTTCACAAGTATATAAGATGAAAGGGGACGATGCTGGGCCCCTCCCCACCCTCATTGGGCACTTCTGACAGTTGAGACAGCTTCTTCTGTCCAGACACAGTTGTAAGACATGGTTTGCTTTTACAGGAATGGCACTGTAATCTATGTATTGTCCTCTCTCTTCTGGAGGCTTCTCTGTCCTCACCTCTAAGGGTCCTGGGCACTGGCTCTTCTGTCTTCTACCACTCTCTAAATGATAGCGTTTCCCCTGGATTCTGTCTCAGATGGGTCCTCTGGCAGACTCTGCCTCTTAGGGAATTTCATCTTCTCCCATGGCTTTAGAAAGCATCACTATGCCACCACCTCTCATGTTTTGATCTCCAGCCCAGACATGTATATACAGCTGACTTGATACCAGAAGATGCCTCAGACCCAACGTGATCAGACACACAGTGATCTTCCCCTTCATGAAGGCCCCTCACACATCCTCACCCCTCATCCCACATGCAGTCCACCACCCAGCTTGCCAGCCCTGCTTCCAGAACACATCTCCACGCCTCTGTCCTCTCAGGGCGATTGTGACAGCCACTGGCCAGTCTTCCCAGAATCCCCTTGGGCCCTTCCTCAGTTTGCCAGAGTGATATGCATTTAGACCTTAAAGTGCAAATCTGACCACATCATATCCCTTCTTGAAATGCTTCAAACTCTTTCCCATCACACACAGGGTAAAATATAAATCCATATGCAGGGCCGGCCCAGTGGCGCACTGGATAGTGCGCCGCTTGGGAAGCGCGGCGGCGCTCCCGCCCGAGGGTTCGGATCCCACGTACAGACCGGTTCCCGCTCACTGGCTGAGCGAGGCGCGGGAGCAACGCCGAGGGTTGCAATCCCGTTGCCGGTCCCTGGTCCGGTACGGGGGCAACACTGAGGGTTGCGATCCGTTGCCGGACGCGGAAAAAGACAAAAGACAAAATAAATAAATAAATAAATAAATAAATAAATAAATCCATATGCAGCTGTCTTGGTCTCCTTGGTGGCTCCACCCCCCACCCCCCCACCTTGTTTCTCCCAGCTCTGCTGACTCTGCTCCTCTGCCTCAGCCACTCCAGCGCTCTCTGTTCCTTGCTCAGGCTGAGCATCTTCTTGCCTCACAGCCTCTGCACAGGCTGCTTTCTCTACTGGAAACATTCTTTCCTTCCCTCTTGGCCTGGTGGAGGCCTCCTGTAAGGTTCAGCTTAAATTTCTGACCCTCAGGAAGGCTGTCCTTCACCCCTTACACCCAGGTCTCCCTGTCCTGCATCCTCTAGCATCCTGTACTTTTTCTTCATGGCTCTTGTAATTTATAATTCCATCATTACCCAGAGTTCACTTGTGACTGTCTGTCTTCTCCACCAACCCGAAAGCTCCATGGGGTGAGAGATCCCTGCTTTATTTACCACTTGTTTTCATGAGCACCTATTGCAGAGCCTGGCAACTCAATAGATGCTCAGGAGATACTGTCAGTGTAGCAATAAGCTTGTATTCTTTGTTATAGTACTGTGGTTAAGAGCTGCTGTGCCAGGGTCTGACAGAATCCCAGCTGTGCTGCTGATAAGCTGTGAGACTTTGGAGAAGTCACTTAACCTCTCTGAGCTTCTGTTTCCTATCTCATTAGATTATTATGAAGATTAAAGCAGAATGTACATAAAATATTTAATGTGATGGCTGGCATATGGTAAGCCTTCAGTGATTGATATTTGTTCTTTAAATATTTAAAAGCTAATCACAGGTCCCCAAAGTGCTATCATTGCTCCTTCTTCTTCCTCTGGTGGTGAGGCAGGCGGCAAGAACACATTTTCACATCCACTCAGGCTCAGGGTGGGGGGCACGTCTGCCTCTGGGACGCAAGCCGTGATAGCGGCAAGTCCAGTTCTGGATTTGGACGTCTGTGTGCCGCTCTGCTACCTATTGGCTATGTCACCACAGTCTCTGAACTCAATTTTGTCCTCCATAAAATGTGGCCAATAAATATTTCACGGGATAGTTATAGGCATTATATGAAATAAGGCATATAAATACTTAGTATTGAAAAGTAGCTAAATTAAAATTAGTCTTTTATTATTTTTTTAAAAGATGACTGGTAAGGGGATCTTAACCCTTGGCTTGGTGTTGTCAGCACCACGCTCAGCCAGTCAGTGAACCAGCCATCCCTATATAGGGATCCGAACCCTTGGCCTTGGTGTTATCAGCACCGCACTGCCTGAGTGAGCCATGGGCCGGCCCTAAAATTAGTCTTATTACAAACTCAGGATGGCTTAAAATGGCTTTTATGTCTCCTACCATGTTTCAAAACTGGCTCACCCTTGACTTCTTTCCCTTATTCATGGAGAGTCAGACTTGAGTTTGAAAGTTGGTTTTTCCACCCACTTGCTGTGTAGCATCTCTGGGTATCAGTTTCCTTCCCAGTAGAGTGGAGCTAACAGCCATCTGAATGGGTTCTTCTAAGGGTTGAATAAAATAGCTAATCTAAAGCAAGGGTTGGCAAACTGTGGACAACCACCTGATTTTGTAAAGTTTTGTTGGATCACAGCTGTGCCCATTTATTTACGTATTGTCTATGGCTGCCTTGGTGCTACAATGGCAGTTGAGTAGTTGCAACAGAGACCGGCTTGCAAAGCCTAAAATAGTTACTGTGGCCTTTTATAGAAAAAGTTTGCTAACAGCTGATGTAAAGCATCTCATTCAGGGCCTGCTTGTGGCAGGTGCTCAGTGAACATGGTCACTCTCAACGTGATTACGATCATCATCCCCATCATCATTGTCTGTATCATTAATGCAGCAACCAGGTGGAGATGTGTTCTGCGATGGTGAGGAAGAAGAGGCCCTGAGGGGAGAGGGGCTGAGCTGCAGTCGCCTGCACACCCAGCACAGTGCCATGCGCAGAGCAGGCCTTTGGAGTTGGGTGATCTCCGTCAAAAAGACTCTTGGTCTGGTGGACTTTCTAATATACTAAGTAATATTCTTATTTATTAAGTTGACAAATAAAAGTTGCATATTGTATATATTTATGGTATACAACATGATGTTTTGATATATGTATACATTGTGGAAAGGCTAGATCAAGCTAATTAACATATGCATTAACTCATATAACTTAGTTTTTGAGGTCTACTCTTGTAGCAATTTCTAATTGTTAACTCTAGTCCCTGTGAGGTACAATAGATCTCTTAAACTTATTCCTCCTGACTGAAATTTTATATCCTTTGACCAGCATCTCCCTCCCACCCACCCCAGCCCCTGGCAGCCACCCTCCTACTTTCTGCTTCTTTGAGTTTGACTTTTTCAGATTCCACATATAAGTGAGATCATGCATATTTGTCTTTCTGTGGCTGGCTTATTTTACTTAACATAATGTCCTTCAGGTTCATCCATGTTGTCACAACTGACAAATTTCCTTCTTTTTTAAGGTCAATTAATATTCCATTGTGTATATATAACACATTTTCTTTACCCAATCATCCCTTGATGGACTCTAAGGTTGATTCCACATCTTGGCTCTTGTGAATAATGCTGCAGTAAACAGGGGAGTGCAGATATCTCTTCACATACTGATTTCATTTCCGTCAGATATATACCCAGTATGGAACTGCTGGATCATATAGTAGTTCTCTTAATTTTTGAGGGAACCTCCATACAGCTTTCCAATATTCTTTAAACATTTAAATCTGCCAGGAAAATGTATCAGAAGCCTGTTTTCAGGCCTACCATGAGTCCATATAGTGCCTTGGTGTGAATTAGAAAATGTACCCCTTCTTTAAGACACTTAATTGTTATAATAAACATACTGATTTTGTTAGGGTGAGATGCTTTACTGCCAGGAAGTTTTGTATAATAATAAGTACACAAATCTGCCCTGCATTTGCTGTGAATGGGCCCCCCCCCCCCACCAGGATTGTGCGGTGCACCACCTGCAAGGCTGTATGTGGCAGCCTTGCCTGTCAAAGAATGGCAAATCAGCATAAGTCTTGATTTCTGTATATCTGTTGTTTTAAAGTGAGGTCCACCTGTTATGGACCTCCCCATTGCACAGCTAAGACTTTGTCCCTCATCTGTGCTTCCTTGGGCTCCACGGGCCAGTAGTTCCTGGTGCTCCCTTACCACCACGTTTGGGATCCCACAGGCAGAGATGGAGTTGGTCCAGCATATTGGTGTCCCTGCGAGTAAGATCATCTACGCCAACCCCTGTAAGCAAATTGCACAGATCAAGTATGCTGCCAAACACGGGGTCCGGCTGCTGAGCTTTGACAATGAGCTGGAGCTGGCAAAGGTGGTGAAGAGCCACCCCAGTGCCAAGTAAGTTGAGAATCACTCAGATGGGGAGGCTGGGCTGGTGGGTAGGGGCAGAGGAACCTGCCTTGGACCTGGCCCCAATCACAGGAGGGGGGGTGGGTACTCCTGGACTCGACCCAGGATGCCAGGGCCTGACTAGAATAAAGGCAGAAACAACTGGTTACAGCTCCTGGCAGAGGAAGCCAATGGTATTATGGAGGTCAAAGTCAGAGGCTTGAGAGAGCCGGAGGGGGTGGTCAGGAAACCTTCACAAAGGAGGTGGTATTTGAAGTGGGCTGTAAGGAATGAATGGAATTTGGTGAGGGCATAAACATTGAGCTGTGTATATACAAATGCATGGAAGTCAGAAACAGCATGGGGTGTTCGAGGGATAAGCAGAAACTTGGTGTAGCTAGAACACAGCACGTGAGGAGGGAGTGAAGGAGACAGTGAAAGACACTGGTCACAGGACAGGGACCTGATGCAAAGGGGTCAGAGCTGGATGTTTTGCTCTGGCTATGGTTTTACGCAGTTACTGGATACTCTAAGGATTCCAGGGAGGGACCTTGGGGTGGAGGGGAGGCCAGGTGATGGGCCACTCTGCTTCATCCAGAGCAGCTTCCATCACGATATTGGGGTTCTCATTAAGACTTTGTTTATAAAATGGTTCCTCTCATACATCAAAAGGTTGAAAACTCTGGTGTGGAGGCTGATTGGGAGGAATTGGAGCTGCCTGGGGGAGAGCTGGTGAGGTCTGGAGCACGGCGGAGGCTTCAGGGATGGGTCCAAGGACATTTAGGGAATGGATTAAACAGAACTTGGAGGCTGATTGGCTGTGCAGGGAGAGGAGGGGGTCAGGGAGCCTGTGGGGTTGGGCAGCTCTGAGCCATGCGGATTCACAGCCCTTGATTCGGAGAAGATGTGGTGGGGTGGGGAGGCAGGGTTTACCCAGCAGAGGTGCACTGCATGTCCCATCAGGATGGTTCTGTGCATTGCCTCCGATGACTCCTACTCCTTGAGCTGCTTGAGCCTGAAGTTCGGAGCGTCATTGAAATCCTGCCGACACCTGCTTGAAAATGCCAAGAAGAGCCAAGTGGAGGTGGTGGGTGTGAGGTGAGCACCAGGAACCCCCACCATCCCCACCCACACCAGGCCCACTGCCTCTTTCATAGGAATTAATCAATTCCATGTGAGACCTTCCCCAGGGTCTCTGTGCAGCGCCTGTCCCTGGGCCTGGAATTCTGCCATTTGTGAATTTCCTCTCTTTGGAAAGAAGGTTTGGAATGGCCCACAGTCCCCAAAAGTTCTTGTCCCAGGAAGTTTCACCCAGGGACCTAGCTTTGAGGGAGTTTTACCAGCCTGTAGGCCAGATCTGCCTCTTTTCTTGCAGGGATATAGAAGAAGTAATAATAATGACCTAATATACAGCTTCATTTATTCTGCACTTAGGATGTGCCAGGCATTGTGCTAAGTGCTTCATGTCCATTATCCCACAGCCTGGTGTGGTATGGGATCTTATCCCCACTTTATAGATGGAGAAACTAAACCAAGGCAGGCTGCGTAACTTGCCAAGGCCACACTGCTGCCTGAGAGGCATATCCACATCTGGTTGACTTTGGGACCCTGGCTCTTATCCCAGAGGGTTCATCTCCAGGGGCAGCATGGAGGGAT